TAATTTATGTCATACTTATGCATCTAATATAACACGTAAACTTACCAGAATAATATACCTACATATTGAAAATCGTATAAGTTTTGAACAACTAAGAAAAGAAACGAACAAACGAAAACAGTGTATTTGTTTAATATTAGTTTTAAAGTATAAAATCTATTACTTTTCTTAAGAACCCATAGATACCTCGTTTTGGAATACATTTATTAGTATTGAACTTGCGTATAATTGTAAGGCGGCTGATATTGTAAATCACTCGATGTTATGCATACATAACATCGTTGAAAATCTATAAATGAATACTAATCAGAAACCAGAAATGAAGTATCGGAAACTCATATTCGGATTACTAAAACATTCAAGACCGCACCCATTAATGGTGAACTGAAATGAGACGGTGTTGGTGCATCAAAAATAATTCAAAATGAACCCTCAGCATGCGGCGACAAAAATAACGGCCACTTCCTTACGACAGCATTCCGACGCTTGCATCCATAGCTTAGAGTATTTTAAATTCACTGCAGATATGTTGAATATCTCCTTTAATTTTATGTTACAATAGTATTTCATTATAATTATTTTTTTCTAAAATAATTACTATAGTGTGATAACAGTGCACGTTCTGTGAACTTTCCAGCATATTTTCATCTGAATTGTGTTAAAGTGTCCATTTTTATTTAATTATTAATAACATCATAAATGTCTCCTTGTCGTCGCAGTGTAAGTTTATTTCAATGTTTTTATTTGCTTTGACATTTCACTTCATGGTAATAATTTAATTAGTGTTTCATTTTCATCAGTTTACCAATATTTGATTTACTTATTTACTAGATTACCATTTTTTTATGTCCCCAATGATTCGATGATATCATTGGTTATATCATGTAAGTGACACACAATCATACGCATATTGTCATCAACTATTATAGTATAGGTGCTCTATATTATAAGAAACAAGACAGCGAACATTTGGGTAAAACCAACGTTTTGTTCCGCCCTAAAATAAATTTATTTTAGAAATCTATCATCATCATTTGGCTATTCGAATTTTATTTTTTCATCATCAGTAAAATTTTTGCAAATCAACAATATTTGTTTTACATTAACCAATCTCTCAGAACATTGCTACTTTAGTAAAAAAAACTGTTAACCTACACTTACTAATTCGTGACTTCATTTGCCATTGAAGTTGTATGAATAACTCAAGTGGAATATTTTTATAAACGTGCGAGAATTCGTTTAATCCAGGGGATTATTCCAAATTTTTAACTTGTATAAACTACATATATTGTTTTTATATTGTCTACGTTAATAATATTATCTGTATAAAGGTCATCTTAGCTTTACGTGTGTAATATGTGTAAGCAAAACAGAGACAACGAAGGTTCTAGAATATAACTGAAAACATGTAGATCTAATTGTAATTGGTTGTGAAGTTTAATCTTTGTCTTTTATCTGCAGAAAAATAATCCGTAGAAATATTGTACTCGAGATTTAACTATAATATCACGAATTATTAATTTTATATGTATACCTATGTATATAAAATAATTGCTCTCGACTAATATGTAATAAATGTCACATGTCACATAATTCAGGAGAACAGATAAGAAACGAGCAGCACAGATAAGAACATTCAAGGTAACACAAAAATTAATGACAATCTTGTACTGCATTGCCGACAAGCTAAATAAATATATAATTGCACTGGTATTAATGAAAACGATTATATAAATGATTATTATGAACGCTGCGAATCAATTGCGTGATAACCTGTAGGAAAAAATAATATTGTAGGAACTCAACGGGTAGCTAACTGATTCTTAACAGTTCGTGTCGATGAACAGAATGACAATACGCTATTGTTATATGAACCATTATTCTGAAAAAAGGTACAAAGATCAACTTTTTGCATTTTATTAAATATATATTTAAACTCCAGTAGTGGCATATAGGTATAGTGCCTATCTAATGGTAAACAGTTACCGTAGCCTATAGATATATATTTTATTAGAATACTATGAATATTAATGCCAAGCCTTCTGTTCAGTTCATCCATTAATGTTATATAACATTGACTCATTGACTTGTTTGTTAAAGAAACCTCAAATTATTAGAATCACCATTATTAACTATGTATTTGTCTTTATTGATGTTCATAAATATTTATATCTTGTTGATACTATTATATCAATTCCATCTGGCAGCATGGCAGTGAAAGTTGGGATCATAACATTGACACATATAGCAGAAACGCTCAATGTCGCGAAAATATCCCAAGGTTCCTTCACGCTTGACATTGACTCTCGATCTGTCGACGATCCGGCTGCTTTCATTTCGCCACTGCATTTAGGAAATGGCCTATATTTTATTTTAAACCGATTAACGGTATTTTATGTACTTTTAATACAAGCGGATCTATATCTCGTCTTTTAAGATTAGCAGAGAAAATGTAGTTTATGATAATATGTTATCATATCTTTGTAGTGCCACAGATTTTCATCTTTCAGTACTTTAGTACTGACTTTTTACGATTTCCTATTAAACTCTCATTGTCTATACCGCAGATGTCTAAAGGTATTGCTATTACATACGTATTTAATAGCAATACCTTTAGACAAATAAATTTAGGAAACAATGATTAATGTATGTATTCTGGGTCTTCAGTATGAGATTCATCAATTTTACGGGTCATTGCTTGAAAACATAATCAATCCATGCAAAGCTTAGAATGATTTCCTCAATCAAGAGTTCAAATAGTAACAAAGTTCGAATCTATTAATATTGTTTTTGCGAATCATTACCTTCGTTATTTATTGCCATGTGTAAGTATGTGATCATAAAAACATATATCCAATGATGAGCGATCTATACGACCTTCATCGTGAAAATATAGATTGCTTCCTTATAGACCAGACCATTCATATTATCGACAATTTCCATTGAGCAATCGCAAAGTATATTGTTTTGAATTAAGTACAATAACTTATTGTTCTTAGGTTTCGGGTCCACGTTGTTTAGAGATATTTGTAAGTGGTTCAGTCTTGGATTTAATAATAATAGACTTGGTAATAACAATATAAGAACTTGTGACAGATATGATAATTGTTGCTAAGTCTTGTTTTCTTTTTTTATATCCTTGAGTTTCTACTTTTTTACTACTATAAATTTATTATTAGCTTTCTTTATGATACTTATTGGAATTTTTCTGCATCGATTTTATTCTTATTTAGTTCGTTTTGTTTATCAAAGAATAATTTTGGTCTCAATAGCTATACAATCTGCATTATTGTAGTTTAAATCTTATCAATCATTGGCAATTGAAACAACATATTGTGTACACCCATCAATTAATCATCAACCATTCTATTCGTGTATACATTATGAAGGATCTATGTCATTGCTTTTCATACGTGTTCCATTCGGTGAATCACCTCACATTTCCTTGCAGATAAAACTAATCACCGTGTCTTGCATTATCTTTTTATTTTTTAATTTAACACCGTGTGATGTGATCGTCCATTTTGTTGTGCTGTGTTAATAAGTGTCTGAAAGTAGTTTTGTGCAAGTGTTAATTATTCGATTTATTGTTGTTATTTGACAAACCACGTGCTAACATAGTGTGTGTATTGCCAATGGTGAGTTCGTGCCACTAAACCTGCCATGCCTTATGAGGTAATAAGAACAATTTATTTCATGTCATAATGATAATTAAAAAATCTGATATTTATTTATTACTAGCTATACCCACGGTCTCAACCGCGTTAAATTTCAATATAAAATATAGCCTGTGTTATTCTGATGCATAACCTATACTACTGTAGTTTCATCAAAATCCGTTCAGTAGCTTTTGCGTAAAAGTGTAACAAATATCCATACTTACAAACTTTCGCGTTTATAATATTATTAGGATTAAAATTAATAATATTTTATGGTTCTTGATGGTTCTTCAAGATGAAGGATTACTAGACTAGAGAAGGGATCTTTATATTATTTATTTTCTCACTATACTTGAATTAATAATAATATATATTTGTTTTCATAATAAACATCTAATAAGACTATAGTATATTTCTTAAGCATTTTCAAAATTGGTCTATAAATTGTCTGTTTCTTACAACATAGCTTTGGTTAGTTTAGTTTGGGAGAAGATAGTATCATATGATATGTTTTTAGTATTTATTTATTTTATTATATTTTGCATAGTATTATCATGTTCGCACATTGCAATCAGCCCGCTATCATATATCAATAGATTATTTTTAAATAGACCTTTACCGAGACTGTTATCATGTGTTTATAGGGCAAAATACGAAGTTTCCTTTCAATGGAAATTAAAAAGTAATTGGGTTCTACCAAGTTTTTATTTTTGTTATCTACGCCTATTATTTCGTCACCATTGAAATTATTCTTTAACATTATGAATTTTGGACTGTTTATTGCATACATAGAAACGTCTAGTGTTAAATCGGATGTATAGATATCAATTCCAATTATTTCTGAACAAAAAGGGTTTGTTTGAAATCCGACTGGAAGTTCCAAGATTACCGCATTTAACAAACTCTCAGATTTCTATAGTCGTAGATGATCCGGCCACGCGTTGCTGTGAACCTGTACTTATAATATTAAGATCATTACTTAATGGATTTATGTTATTGTTTAATTCAGAGATCAGATTAAGCCTAAGTTTCTCAGCTACATCTGAGCTCTATTCACTGCCTGATGATTCCTTGTTCAGAGGCGAAACACGGGTCAAAAACTTTCACTAGCAGTGTTCAGGTTTCTGCCCTGAATACTTGTGGTCATTATTTTGTTCAAATCGGACGACTGGCGGAATATTCATAAAATATTAACTAGTTCATTTTTAACGTTAATGTTCTCATATTTTTCGGTACGGTAAACTTTCTCGCTCAAGTATAGGGATAGAATATGAATAAAGATTTTTACTTCTATTCTACTACTACTATTTTTTTTTTTATTTAATCGTACGTTGTCCTCAGGTTGAGGAACGCAAGCGAGCAATATGGGAAGCGTCCGTGTCCCGTCGGGAAGCGCTGCTGCAACGCGAGCGCGACAGGAGCGAGCGAATGGAGCGGGCGCGCGCCGCTCGTTCCGCTCCACGGCCCGCTTTCGCTTTCGGCTCTTCCACGCCGCGGCTACTTGAGCCGCTGGACTCCGGTGGCTTCTTCTGGGCCGCGCGCAGGTATTGATGGTTTTATTTCTTTTTTTTATTTCAATTACGGAAGCAAAGGTCTTACAGTTTTCTTAATTATACTTGTTATGAATTATTTCTTTTTTTATTTATGTAATTTCAATTACAGAAGCATAAGTCAAAGTTTATACAGATTTCTTAATTGTGCTTGTATCAAAAATTGTTATCGGCATATCTTAAATGTTTGTCGGTAATCCTGTGAGAATCTGAAGTTTTATAGTATTGGAAGGCCAAAGTATATTTAACAGTTTCGAGTATAAGAGTAAGATAATAAAAGGCAATATAAGGGTAAATAAAGTAATTTAAATAATTGAACTTTTTGCCATTAAACATGCATTGTTAAAGTGCATTCAAAATGCACATGCGATAATCACTTTTTGCTCGAACGTATAGGCTGTAATGCAGATAACTGACAGGTCTACAAGACTAGTAGGCTTATGACTATCCAATATTCCAAATATGAAATAAACATTACTAAAACAATAATGTAAACTATACATTTCATTACAAAACCATTGCGTTTGAAAATACTGGGGTTGCCAAAATCAGAAATAATATCAAATATAACAACGTGTTTTGCAAAGAATTCGAATTAGATTTTTTAATCACGTATTTACGTATTTACACAGTTATATATCTATAGAATTCAATGATTTTCGAAATAAGGAAATTACTGAGTCTCTATATGTTCAATAATTACGATTTTTAAATGAATACATGTTATTGAATAAAAATATCTAATATAAAACCGGTAGGTTATATAATCTGCGTGTTGCTTGCGAAGTACTTAAATTCAAATGAACCGAACAGTATGTAACCATATTTTTTGCTCACCTGAGGCTGGGCTGATGTACTGTCAAGGCCACGGCATGACGGCCAAACAGCTTTGCCAGACAGTATGCCGTGGTAAAAACTATAAGTACTTAGTTAACGACCTCTTTGCTCTTGTAATAAAAACTAGATCGGATAAAATATGAACGGTGTCTCGTTTGGTCCATTCTTTTTTTTTTAAGTGGCATAAGGCAAATTAACCGACCACTTGATGGAATGGCAGCCCTTTTCTTATACATATTAGCAGTAAGAAGAAAAAACTAAACAATATGTGACGTCCTATACAATAGAAACTAGCTGTGTCCGCGATTTTATCTTTGGAAGCCCTCAAATATGAATAATTTTCCCCGTTTTTGCAACGTTTTTCACTGATGCTTCCCTTCTATTGGTCGTAGAGTAATGTTATATAACTTAAAACCTTCCGCGACAAATGGACTATCCCACACAAAAAGATTTTTTCAATTCGAACCAGTAGTTCCTGAGATTAGCGCGTTCAAACAAACAAACAAACTGTTCAGATTTATAACATTAGTATAAATATAGATAAAGGATCTTGTGATCGTGACTGCTAATGTGCATACACGACGGATGCCACTTTCCATCCGGTGGGCTGTCTGTGTTGCAGTTCCTAAGGACTGAGATGAATAATGTCTTCGTAATCTGTAATGTCACAGCCATGGCTCACCCTCGAAAACAAAATTCACATTAAATTAAACAAGATGTTTGGCAGATGTAATAGTTAAAACAGACGTGGACGACTTTGTACATAGTCCACCTCGGTTATTACACTCAAGATTGTTTATAACTACAAAAAAATACCTAAAGATATCGTTGTATGTACAAAATTCCTTTGCAAATAGAATCTTATATTCAAAATTCTCGTGCCACGTTGTTGTGTTATGTTAACCATACTCCTCCGAAAAGGCTTGACCGATCTCTATGAAATTATTTATGCATATTCAGTACGTCTGGGAATCGGCTACTATCTATTTTTCATACCATAAGTGTTGCCCACCCCTAAAATTTTTTTAACAATATGGCATTTCAAAATATATACAACCCTAAATTTTAACCCTATATATCATCAACCTCTATTTTTTAATAGTGATTTGAATTTACCAATTTTGGAAATTCAGCATTTGCTGGGTGAGACACGAATGATAAGAACTATATTGGCTACGGAATTCTTTAATTGGTCATTTTGTATTCTCGTATCGTATCGTTTATCCGACATACGCGACAACGTCGCCCGAGGCACGTTCTCATTGACCCCGACAACCCTATAACGGCAGGTAACCTCCCCACGGGCCCACCCGTTCCACCCCGACACTTTTACACACACACACACACACGACACCGTCCTCGCCGGCGAAGACGACGACCTCAAACACATTATCACGCATTCAACCGGGCGCCTTCGCGCGCCCGGGCGCTCCACACCGGCGCCCCCGGGCGCCCCTCTGATCGATCCCCCGTCCAATTCAAACGGGGATCGAAATTACGACGGCCTGAGTCGAGGTTCGAACCCCTAGTGGTGCCCTCAGACTAATGTCGTATCCGTCAGGCAGGAGTTGGCCTTCAGCCGCTGCATAAGTCCTTCCGCGGGTTTGGAGTGCCATCTGCACTCGCCCCCTGACGTCCGGTGAAGCTGTAAACGCCAGCTACGGCCAACAGCATTAGAGTAGTCCGAAAAAAAAAAGTATCGTATCGTAGCTTGTTTTTAAAATAAATATAAGATATTTCTGACATGTAGGGCATTAATTGACGCTAAATATGCGGTCAAGACGCTACCGCTCTTGGTATGATAGCTAGTCCTGAATCATTCGACCCAATTACTGTGTCGGCCAACATTTGTTGGGTTCATTTGGTACTATCGGTTTGATAACAAATATTTGTGAAACTAAATGATGCATGTAGGAATTGATTATGTTAAGATATTTAGAATGCGCGTGCAAATTTGTGAATATTTTGTTACAATAAATAATAGATTACTACTATTATTTATTGTAACAAAATATTCACAAATAGTAGTAGTAAATACGTATAATTAGTAAAAATCACAGGATTTTACCACGTTTTATATTATTTGTAGCAGTGACCATGATCATATGGCGGTTGAAACACTACCGAAACATCGGAAACTCAATAAATACAAAACGTAGTTAAGATCCCGTGATTTTTACAAATTATACGTATAAATAATGACCGCGTCAAATTTAAAACTGTATATAGTAATAAATAGTAGTACAATAAATAATATTCCGTGAATAAAATTTTCATTAAGATTATAGGAATAAAGATAACTGTTCTTTAAACTATAATACTAAAGAGTTGGTATGGATGGATGGATTGTGTGAAAGATGATATGAATGAAAGGAGAGTATGTTCAGATATGACGGCCGATAGATATCAGTGGAAGAGAATGACAAGCTGCGCCGACCACCAATATTGGGATAAAGGCAAGGCAACGCTGACTAAAGACTTGATATATTTTCTTTACATAGTATAAAATGATGTCCTTCCGTTGTCTGTTTGCATAGATCTTTTAAACTACGCAACCGATTTGAATACAGTGTTAAGCAATAGATAGACTGATCCAAGAGGAAATTTATATATATATATTTATTAAATAAGCTGCAACAAATTCGATACGTAAGAAATCAATATACTTACACATAGATCGTACAATATACCTTAATAATACTTAATATCATATAGTTCATCAAATTTATTTATGGTTTGCCTTTGACCAGAAATATAACTATTATAGAATTGTTTCGGATGACACAGTTGGCAACCCTAACGGCGATTGCTAGCAATAACAAAGTTGCAAATCAGCTATCATATACGGTTGCACAAGAAATACTGTAGATATATTATAGATAAAATTGATATTGCATTCTCACCCAACATACTTTTTATGCTATAAATTGTATGATGGAAAACTGTTCCACGCAGTTTTCTTTATAAGATACAGTAAAAAGTAAATTAAGAGTAAATATTGACCTCATAACAAAACATATTTATCGATCCCAAATTTTAATAAAAATAACCAAGCAACTATCAAAATTATTGTCGCCTTTTATATTATTACTTCTTTTCTTTTGTCAGTAAATATGAAGGTATTCTTTTCATTATAAATATATATACTGTCTGAAATTCTTGATACGAATGAGCCAAAGATACTTTTTTTTGGCAAAAATCGAGTTTTTAAGTTAGATGTAATTCTAAAACAAGCTTGTTTAAAGAAAATCTAACTAGTGTGAAACGTTAATATTAGACGAAATTTCATCGAGTTTAATTAGTTGTTGCAGAAAATGTTTTGTATGGGGTAAGGGACATGTAGCCTCAAAAATTGGCAAGGCATAGTGTTATTGGCTTCCAATGTGTTTTAAAACGATTCTCACATGATTCTAAAACGATATTTTCAAATACATGATGTTCAATGAAAATACGTAGAATGAGCATGCTGATATAAATATCTGATAATGATGTTTGATATACTGCAGAATATGATAAACTGTAATCTATTTGTTTATTGCTTCTGTCAAATTTTGTTATAGGTCCTGTGTTGTATTATAGAGACGTAAGGGTATACCAAGGCGAAAGTCAGTGACAGAATTTATGAAACTGATCGTTCTTTATCGAATACGTGATCAATTTAGTCTGAATTTAATTTATTGTCATAGGGCAATTCAATAAGAGTAGTATGAAAAATAGCACAGTTAATCTTCCTAAAAAAAAACTTAAAAATGTAATCATAATAATATCTCAGGATAATTCACACAACGTCATCTAGTCGCAAACTTAGCAAAGCTTGTTTTATGGGTATTAATCAATTGATAGATATTCTTAGATTTTTTTTTATGAAATTAATACAAATAAATACATAGAAAATACCCAGACAACAATATATTATACAAATACAATTACAAACAATAATATTCATGAATACAAATGTTTATGCTGTGCGAAGAATTGAACCCGCAAAAATTGGAAACGAGGCGGTATGCTAACTACTAGAGCACCGAGGGCGTCAATTTATTTTCAGATTTCCACTTGTTTCTTACTAACAGTGATTAGTTTCATGAATCTTCTATCTGGCTTTTGTGTTGGTATATATACTCTTTTCGATTAACCTTTTTATGTTTTTTTTATAAAACTATAGTCTTTTTAAGGTGAAACGATAGGTAAACGTGGTAACCGTTATGATGCGTCATTTGTAAACCATACTTTTATTTTATTACAAAATTTTATTTTATGTTTTGTTTAAATATATTTTGCTTTGCTTTTTTTGGGTTTCTGGTGTCGGTTTTAATCCACATACCAGTCAATAACAGTTGAAACCCGAAATAGTAATATTTTATTTTTGACTAATTTGTTTTTTTATTTTGTTTTCCCTCCCCCAGTACCAACCCCATAGATCAGATGAACTTTTTTGAGTCGCTGTAAGCAACCTTTTATTATTTTATTTTGTTATAAATCTCTACATTAATGTTACTAATGTTTTTAGTCGTTTGTTATTAATTTTCACTAATTACTGTAATTGATGCCTTATGTTAGACCAGTGTTTCCCAACCTTTTATGTACCATGCCCCACCTTAGCCTTTCTAAAATCTTCTTAAATTGTTCCCCTCTATGTAACGTACATAATTTATAACATTAAAAATGGAATTGTTCTCTTTGAAACTTAAATAGCAGATTTTAGGAAGAAATCACTAGGAAATTGTGATTGAAAAACAGTAAGTAAAATTTCATAACATGTAATGAAATAATTTTTTCCTATAATTTTAAGAAATAGAAATAATCTTTATTCTAATAAACTCAATAAAGGCATTTTTGATTAGTCATATTTTTATTCTAACACTAATTCGGAACTCTGATTCATCACAAGAAGAATGAGCAAGAAACTTGTGTGTTGCTCTTTTGAATAGTTCTTTTTTTATATAAATAATTACACAAAAAACAATCTATTTTCTAATTGACCCACCTAACAATCAAATTGACCCTCTGTGTGGCGTGGGGCCCACGTTGGGAAACACTGTTAGACTGTGTAGTACCAAATTAGTGTACTTGTATTATTTGAAGCAACCTGGCCGTGTTCAACTAAACACCGTAGTAGTTCATTACCGTCTATTTTTAGTTATTACAACGGCAGTAATGGTAGATGGTAGACAATTTGCATGTGACGTTGCATGATGTACGGTATTTACAATTAACGCATGCATACTTTTATAATTAGCTAATTTTAATGTTATTGTAATTTAGAAAATGTTTTATTGTTATCTTAATGGTTATTTTAGCATAATTACTGATTAGTTAATAGGAATTTGTTGTTAGAGGTGTATGTGAAGTATGTAATACCCGATCCGTCATACTCGTGAACGGGTGCTGCTTGTGGGGACTGGTCTGTTCAAGTTACGAACACTGATTAGACTTTTTGCTTTTTCAATAGCATATGTTGGTGATCACTCTATTCTCCCAAATTTGAATTCGAGTTGAGTTTCTATTCAGTTCTTCTCATCTCAAAATCATTCCGAACTGACGGTAGATAGAACATATAGGTATCTGCCTATATTTTTATATCGTTTGAATACAAAATGCAATGCATGGGGATTTGTGTATTCTAGAGGAATGGTAATATATTCGTATTGTATTTATTGTATTTTTTAACATAAATATATCTATGATAGACGTCATTTAAAGTGAAAAGTATGACTAAACTGTTATTTCCTATGTGTCATGTAATGAATAAATAATTTAGTAATTTTACAAAACGTTTATGTGTTTAGAATAAATATATTAAGCATTGACAAAAAATTATGTTTACACGATTAGAAATTTCAAAGATTGTTAAGTTGACAAATATTTTTAGCCAAGGCTTGGCAAGTACTTTAGGTTTAGTGGAATTTAACCCCATTAATATTTATTGTGATTAAAGTATAGGTTTCAAATATTTTCTGTATATAATTGTACTAGCTCCTCGCCCCGACTTCGCCCGGGTGTACATGTATTACATATGTATAAACCTTCCTCCAGAATCACTCTAACTATTAAATAAAACCGCTTCAAAATTCGTTGCGTAGTTTTAAAGATTTAAGCATACATAGGGACGGACAGACAGCGACCGCGACTTTGTTTTATACTATGTAATGATTAATACTATTTTTCGCATTAAAATTGCAATTTATTAATATTTCTTTTATAATCTGGTTGTCACCTGATTTATCGTATAGGTAAAATTTAGAATTAGAGCTTATTTCTCAACAGAACGCCTGCAACTTACCTGCAATTTCTCTGGAGTTGCGGGTGCTCGTGGGAGGCGGTAATCACTTAGCATCTAAATTTATACATTGTCATAGTTTATTCAATTTTTTTTGTAATACGGCTGTCACGTGATTTACTTATGCGTAAAATTTAGGAAAAGAACTTATTTCTCCTCATAATGCCGGCAATTCCCCTGGAGTTTTGGGTGCTCATTGGCGGCGGTAATCACTTAACATCACGTATGCCGCAAACTCGTTTACCTAAAACATGCTATAAAAAAGTAAGGCCGATTTACATACACTTACGTAGTTTTTATTTTTCCACTATATTCGTGATATCGTTATCTGAAGTTCGTCACAAATACCTACGAAAGATATTTATCGATTGATTTCTCACGTACTTACATACAATACCTATGTCGAAATTTTTTGAGATCTACTTGACATTGTTTTGTTTTTGTCTCTGCACATCTTAGTGGGGTGAATCCGTGACGTCTCTAAAAGTGTCTACAGACGGCCCTAAAATTTTAGCTATTTTTTTAGGGAGCACCCTAGATCATTTCCTACAGATTTTTACGTAAATGGAATTAAGCAAACTGTGATGGCCCTAAGATTGGTGGCAGTATAGGAGCTGTGGTGGGGAGCACTTTAGATTACTTTCTACAGATTTTTAGGTAAATGGAATAGCAAACAAGCTGACGGCCCACCTGATGGTAAACGGTAGGTAACCATCGCTTTTTTATACAGGAACCAATACGGATATCACGTTATCATGTAACGCCCATTTTGCCAATGTTATGTGCATATAAATTTTTATGATTTGCGAATAATAAATTCGGAGTATAGTTTGCGATATTAAACTAGATTTAGCTGTCTCAGCTTCTTATAACGAGCATGATCTTCGCACAATACACACGTTTTAGTATTCATAAATATTTACTTACAAAAAATGTGGTTAGAAGATTTATCAGTTGTCTAGTACCTATACCACAAGTTCTTCATTAATGGAGCTGTGTGAGTTGACCAAGGTTAATTAATTGGGTTCGATTCCTCGCACGGTACAAACATTTGTATTCATGAGTGAGATAGTTAGTGTTTGTATGTATTTCTATCAGTTGTTAAGTACCCCATAATACAAGGTCTGCATAGTTTGGGACTAGATGACACTTAATGAATTGTGCTGGGCTTATTTTTATTATAATTATTATTTTTAATAATATAATATAATAAGAATCCTCATATCCCATGTGATGCTTCTTATTATCAGACTAAATTTAACAAGTTTTTTTTTTAATGGATGATAATGGTATGGTACACCCACCACCTGCGCTAACGGTGGCCCATCGTGGTAAATCTACCAGGTATTTATCACGATGGTTTATACGGGAAACCGCGTGGAGGTCCACCTGACATGTTATATTGTTAGCAAATTGCTAGCAATATTCTCCAATTTAGCATAGCACAGCTACTAGCAATATACTCAATTGCTACTAGCAATGGAGTCCATATTTCAAGCAATATCCTTCCCCCTTTGTCAAGACTTTCATGTCAGTTCAATTGTGCATTTATAAGTAAATACTTACCTATCAATTTACAAATTGACTGAAAGTTGTCAGCATTGCTAATTTCATAAATCATTTGCTAACACGGCAAACATAGATAAAGAGACATGACTTGTAAATAATTATGACAAATTTAAAAGTAACTCATTACAATTCTACACCTTATGGTCAGTACTATTAGAGGTGAAATTGTTGAGTTGTATTTCTATAATTTCAACTCTGACATTCCAAACACTAGATTCGGAATTATTTAGGTCGCATTCCAGTGTTCACTGACCACTGGCACGAGTTACTTTTAATATTCTAGTAACGTTCATACATAGCTGTTTATGATATCCTGGTAACTGGATAATCATGTGTCACAGTAATTGGCTATTTTTTTTTATTTAATATATTGCCTATCATTGGAGTTGGATGGGTTCGATCAGCATATATCTTTAGAGCAGAGTAAATCACCATTCCATCATCATCTATTAAAAAAAAATCAATATATTTAGATGCCAAATACAATTATATCTGGCATGTAAATTAGATTACTTATAGTCTAAATTAGATAGATTGAAGGCTTCGGTGGTCTAGCGGTTTAGCACATCGCTTTACTTCCGATGGTCGCGGGTTCGATTCCTCGCAAAGTGGAAACGTTTGTATTCATGAGTATGATTGTTTATATCGCTCTGGGTGTTTTTATGTATATTTTGTATGTATTTGCGAAAAAAATCTAAGTATTTATATCAGTTGTCTAGTATCCATAACACAAGGTCTGCGTACTGTGGGACTAGATGGCGCTGTGTTAATTGTCCTGGGTTATTGTTACTATTAATGATAATTTGACATCATATTTTAAATGTAAAATAGCAATGAAACTGAGCCAAAGAAATCTGTTTTCGTTATTACTTTAATGCATGAATGAATCCATTCATTATTTTTTAGCGATCTGTCTCAAGGAGCACGAACACGTCTTGTTTACGTAATATTTTGATGTTGGTCGAAATAATCGGTCTAGTCGCCGTTGTATATTATGTATTCAAATTAATTTACATTCGTGAACGTGTCCAATATAAATGATAAAAGTTCCACTAGTTTCAAATTACATTCAAACTCAAAAACATTCAATCTTACATGTTCATAGTAATGACGTTTTAGTTACTTACGCAATTCAGTTCTTATGTATATTTTTTTAACCTGACTGTCATTTCAAAGGTTTTATTACGAAATGCTTTTGTGACATATTCAATTCATGTCGATTTAATTGCATACAATACATCTGAGCTTGCATCTCATGGTTCATCTTTAGGTAGTGTAAAATGAAGTCGCTTCCGCTTTCTTCGATCTTTTAATGTACGCAACGGATTTTAACGCAGTTTTATATATATATAATAAATGTATACCCGTGCGAAACCTAGGCGGGTAGCTAGTATATAATAAAGGAACCATGACATACAGGCCAGATAGTAGAGTTTGAAATTGCAACTATGAAATAGTCTGTAAATTGTAAGTGTAGTTTTTAGTCTGTTTTAAATGAGAATTGTGCGTCGTTGCGTAATAAATTCTCAGAAATGGACAGTTTGGCTAAGAAATAATATGAAAGAACTGATTTGGGCTGCAACCATTTAAGGTCCA